CAAATGTAGTTATTGTCTTTTCCCTAATCCAGCAAATCAATTTTTCCATGTCTGCAAATTTTGTCATATTCACCAACCATTCTTCCATTGTGGGTATTTCAAAGTCTTTCCATCTTTGTGCATGTAATAATCTTGCTGCACTTACCATGTACAAAAACAATCTTCCATAAGTCTTTTGTAGTCATCCGTCCATTAGTCCCAGCAAGAAAAGTTCTAGTTTCAGTTGAATATTAATCTTTAAAATTCTTTGTATCGCTATATATATTTAAACCCAAATTTTCTAGCTTTTTTACAAGTCCATCAAGCATGATAAAATGACCCTTCATGTTTTCCACATTTCCATGTATGGATGTGGTTCTAAGTGAGTAGTAATACCTGCAGTAGTTTCATATGTCCACCAAAAAGCCCATATCAAGCATGACTTTATCCACTATCTTCTAGCATTATACTATTAATCTGTTTGGCTTATTTTGAATGTTAAGAATATGTAGATCCCCTTCCAAGATACAGGTTTTGCAGGAGGAAAGTACAAATTTATTTGTACTACATTATTTTAATAGATGAGTAAATGTTTCAGTATATATACCTAGCCATTCACTGGGAGGTATAGGCCTAACTTTGCCATTTCATACTTTAGCTTTGTAAAAACCATGTTATTTTCAGTAAGACTTAAATATATGTGTGTGTGTATAAATATATATGGAGCATTTAATCCCATTGGGGCATAATTTTTTATAACCCGCTTTTCTGTAGAATGCAGTTTTTCTTTTCTTTTTTAAGTGTAGCTTTGCACTTCACTGTTAGTGTGGTTATAACTAAGAACTAACCATTTTGAAAGGCTTCAAGAATTTTTTTTTCTTTCTGAAACGTACAGTACTAGCTAGAATATTGGGTGACTGATGTGCTGGCTAAGAGCCATCTCATGAATTACAGAGACAGTTAGTATGTTTCTGTATTGTACAGATGTACTGGGTCACATGGCAGAAGGTTTGAACTTCCACTATGGGAAGCAAAGGAGTGCCATCGTGATATTAGCCGTGAGTTATCCAGCATATGTACTTACTCGTACAATTCATGCTATGCTATGGTTTATATTAAATATCTATAGTTGAACACTTAAGTATTAGTGATTGCAAGCATGAAAGGAAATTCTTACATCCACGACAGTGATGTGGATATATGAATTGTTTTGGCTGATAAAAGTCACTTGGAACTGACATTTCACATGGCTGTTTGTTAAAATGGATAGTGATAGAGAATTAACAGTTTATGATAAGGCTGAAAGCTGAATGCTAAATGTTGTGACTATGTTTATAGTAGTTTGGGAGAACTAGAAACAAATGGAACTAGAAATTTTAGTAGTAAGAAGTTAGGTATTAAGGGGAAAAAACTAATATTAGTATTTTATTTTCAACTTCATCACTAATGGAAGTCCCCTGAAGGAAATCCCTACCGGTAGCTTTTCATATAACATATTGAAAACATATTTTGTTGTAACATTCACTTAACTGTAACCCTTTTCTATGCTGGTGCTGTGCCTACTTGGGTCTCTAAGACTTAGAAGAGCTGGGAAGTGCTTTGGCATGGTGGTTGTACATGCACTTTCTACACGCACATCAGAGAATGAAGTTCTGTATGACTGAAGGAACTGGGTTTGTGCAAGTAAGCACAATGCCATTATAAAATTATTTTTATAACTGAAGATTCTTTTTTCAGTAGTAATTATTTAAATTGGAACAATTCAAAAGCAAACCTGCCAACACAGAACAAAATTACATTGCTGTTTTTTTAAAAAGTTGCTGTTACAATTGATAAACAACTGTCTGTTTCACAACAAACTTTCTTTGTGTGGAGATTTTTTGCTCTATTTGGTTGGATAGGGCTAATTCCACAGTTGAACAAACTTAGTGCAAATGATTAATTAATTCAAATAAAGTATGCAGAATTGGGTATCAGCCACAAAGTAATGTTATGTGAGAATTTTTAATACTGGCTTTATTCCAAGTTACCAGGGCACTGTCTCCAGTCCTCTCCCCTCCCCCCCCCCACAAATGTTTTTCAGTTTTCTGTTCCTTGTGGACTAAATCTCCAAAACATTTTGAGAACAGGCTATCATTTTTATTATATGAAAGAACATTTTCCCTCATTCAGTCCTTGTGAAAACATTACCAATGCGGATACTTCTCAATCCAAGGGCATGCTTGATAAGCAAAACTTTTTTAAAAAGTAGAAATAGAAAGCATGCAAATGTGAAGTAATCCTTCATTTAATCTGGAGTGTTTTTATGTCTTTTCTACTTTACTTTTCCAACAGCAATCCATGGTTGGTTAGATACCTTCCATGCCAGCACTCTGTGTGGAACAGTATTCTATTTCCAAATAGCAAAACTGGTTTCCCTATTCTTAGCACATATGTTCACCTGCTTCTTTGGATCCAGGCATTTAATTTTGAATGTATTATTTTCTGGATTTTTGAATATTGGAATAAAAGGACCAAAGGAAATTACGTTTCTTTTTTTTTTAAGGAATACAACCACAGTGTGATAAAGAAATGCATGATGTTAATATTGGTCTGCATGGCAATTGATATTGAAATAAGCCAGAATCATTTTTGCACAAGGCCTTTTTAAGACTCAGGACCACAGGCAGAATGTTCATTTATTCTCCCACATACACTTCCTCTCTTTTATGTCACTTTGTCTCCCTTTTTCTTTTGAAGTCGAGTACCTTATGACTGAACGCAAACCCAAAATACCGAAATGACCCTTGGTAATATAATATCACTGATCCTTTCTGAACCATGTTTTGAATGGGGATCTTTCCACATATGGGACCTGAAGCATTTGCCACGTTTCCCTCCAAAAGGGCTTTATACCTACCCACACTGGAGTGCACTCCAAAACTCAGTATGTCTCAGCCCCCAGCATGTGTATATTGAGAAAGTGATTGAACCTGGAACCTGCACACCTGATATTCATGTACCAGAAGTCATATTTTCTTTTTTCTACATTTTTAGTTGAACATGCATATGAGATTGCTTTGTTCAGCTGCACAAACAGAACTCTTTTTATACAAAACCCATTCACACATTGACCAGAAAGCATGGAGAGATCAAAGTGAGAGGAAGATGGGATCAAGCATGCAGTCTTCCCTGACCTCTCTCCCATTTCCAAGTAAGAATTGGATAGAGTTGCATAGATATTGCAGATTAAAATGGACAGAGGATCCTCAAGTATATAACATAACACTGAGTAGGAGAAATATTAAAAGTTGTTGCTTTACAGCAAAGATGTAAAGTTACTTATAAAAAAGCATGCATGTCCTTGATAAGAATGCACCATTTGGCTCTTCTGTGTGCAGAACTACATTGATAGTGGTAAGCGTACTATGAATAACCATAACAACCTATTAACTTTTCAGACAAGACGTTGATTAACTAGTAACTCTCATGCATTCAGATTTAATTGATTATGACATTTATATCCCACTAGCCTCTTGGTTATATTTTCTATCAGGAATTAGATTCTCTTCTAATGATTTCTTACTGAGTAGTAAACAATTTATATTTGCATGTATATTTGGAAGTCCTTAAGCCTTGATGTATAGCTTAGTTTTGTGGATAGCATTTTAGACAGTATTTGATTGCAGAAAGCTAGCAGACGGTTTCTGAATTTGAATACTTAGCCAAAAAGCAATACACGAGGATGAGTTCTCATGTGGTCAGAAGAAAATAACCCAATATTACATTTTACTGTAACAAGACAAAGATGGAAACCAGGCCTCCCCTCCCAAAATAGGGGGCCAGTCAGCCTTCTGCATAATTCAAGCAGCAGAAAGGGTAGGAGAAAATGGAACTTTGATTTCACTTCTTATAAAACTTGTATTTGATACATGTCAGTCACTGGAATTCTTTCATAATGGCTTCTTTGCTTTTTCTTCAGTAAAATTCGTTGTCAGAATTTCCTGGATTCTTGTGTGCTTGTTTAATTGGTTCCAGTTTAGCCTGTCAGGCAGAAGTCTAATACTATCCATGATGCATTCTGTGATTATTTACTCTTCAAAGACATCCTGTAGGAAAACATTTTGCTGTTATACACTCATGTCTACTTTGGAACATCACATGTCCAGATTTAATCATATTTAACAATAGGCCCAATGAATTTGAGTTTCACTGATTGCAGTATTTCTGCTTTACATTTGAATAAATATGAATCTAACTCTTTAGTAATGATAAAGTAAAGACTCCCTCAAATTGAGTTCAACTCTTGGTGATTACAGAGATACAACCTTGCAGCTTTCTTGGCTAAGTATGGAGTTATTTGCCATTGCCTTCTTTCAGGACATTTCTTTTAAAAATTTCCCTAGTATTCCCCTATTATTTTCTGGTGATCTCTCATCCAGGTACTAACAGGTTGGACCCTGTTTAATTCCAAGCCCAGACAAGGCTGGTCAAGGCAATATTATTTTTGCTTTAAAAAAATGCCACAGTTTTCCTTCTTTTGTTGGTTGGTTGTATCATATTTTTGCATTACTCATAGGTATCTTCATTTCTAAAACTTGTAATGGCCTACAGCAAGCTTCCCCAAGTTGATGCTGTTGGAAATTCTGGCTGGGAATTTAGAGCCTTTTATTTCCAATATTTAAAGAGCAGCAGATCTGGGAGTGCTGACCTGTTCTGTGTCTTCCAGGCTAAGTGAATTTTCTCATACCAGCCTTTTCAGGGCTTTAGAACTGTTGTTTTTATGTTGCAGATATGAACTCTTAATGAAAGGTAACCAGTTTATTGAAGAACAAGAAGGAAACCTTTAGACTTTAAGCTGTTTCCTACATCTTTTGAACTTCTATTGTTGTTCTTGCTGTCTTGCTAAATAACATTTTTGTCACCTGCTGAACTTTAGCTGTCCTGTTATATATGCTATTAAATGATGATGGAATTGCATCAACAAAATACACAACTGGGCATTTTGCTGGATTTTGAAGTTGAACTTAATGCTTTTGCAGGTTGAAAATTGGTGTCCTCGTTTACCCTGGAGAGCAAAAAATCCCAATGAAGAAATGGATCAGAAGACAATGGTAAGAAGTAAGCCTTGCCCCATTTAAAATGGGCTTTAGAATTATTTTTTTTTAATAAAATATATTTCTGAATGTTTCCACTAAGAAAAATAAAGTATAGATAGTAACAGACAGAGTCAGTCCAATCAGAACATCCAGTATTCTGGTAATGGTTGGTCCTATCATCTTTTCCCATAACTATTGTAGAAAACAGTATGTTGGAAATCAATTCTGAGAAAAAAGTTAAATAATTTTAGCCACTCAGCAAATATTTAGATGCATGGTTCATTTTAAAATGACTAGATTTACTGAATTTGCAAAATATATTTGAGACTTAAATTCAGAATCTTTATTTGGTGGTGGTCAGTGAGCAGTGTTTGGCTATGGTATATCTTTAGTGGGATTTTGATAAGATAAGTAAAGGTGCAAATAGCTTTTTGGGATGTAAGGGGAGCCAAATATGATAAATCAGGAATTTTCAGAGGTCAGCAACCTTTTGTGTCCCCAAGTCCCATTGCTAGATTTCAGTAAGATCTTATGTGATATCTGGGTATTCTCATGTGAAATGTTGAGAGACTGTAGCTTTTTACAGGAGATTGCCTTACTATTATGTTTTTAGAATAATAAAAAAGTATTGTTTTACTAGGCTTCGTGAGCCATTTAGGAATCTAGGTAGGTTTTCTGACACCTGTGAGTATTGCAAATATTTTGTTAGTGTTAATTTCCACTTTCCTGCTTTTGAATTTGAATTTTGAAACATCTGCATGTCCCTTTTATTTAATTTAATGTAATGAAAATGGAACAGCAACCTCTCACCTACACAAATACACATTGTACCCGGGTATCACAAAGGGACATTTTGATCTTGCACTACCACTGATTTTTAAAATGTGTTGTTTAGCTGAAGGCTGAAATCAGAACCAATTTTGATTTGCTGTACAAAATGATGTTGAGACATGAAGAATTCCGATGGATGATGCTGCGAATAAAGAGAATGGCTGATACTTGGATAGAAGCAATAAAATCACTTGCTGAAAAACAAAACTTGGAGAAGAGAAAACAAAAAAAGGTGAGTTCACTACATAAAATATATTTTTACATTGCTTAAAACTTGCAAAGCATGTTGCAACTTCATCTGCCTAAAAGGAAGTTTCCTGGAGTGGAGCTCAAGTTCTGGTGATTACATGGACAGATCTATGTGGTTTTCTTGGCAACGATACAAGAAAACTACTCGCCACTGCCTTCCAGTCTATTACTTATAGCCCTGAATTTTCCTGAATATGTGTGTGTGATTATTGTAACTTACTCAACATGGAACTGCCTTTAAAGACCACCCACAACTATAGCTGGTTCAGAATGTGGCAATCATTTACTGTCGGGGCTGAAATATTCGCTTGTAAAGCCTGTACTACAGGAGCTGAATTGGTTGCCAGTTTGTGTCTGGGTGCAGTTAAAGGTGCAAGTAATAAGTTTTACATGCTGTAGGACCTGGGTCTCAGTGAGATCACTAACTTCGGTTGAAAGCTGCCTGCCCAGTATGTGTCAGTAGAAAGTAGAAAGAACTGATTTGGAGAAAAGTATTTTTGGCCAAAGCTTCCCTCCTGTGGGTCTGGTTATCCTTAGAAATAAGAAGAATAAATAAGAAGCATCTTCATTATTAACACTGCCAAAAAATTGGTTATTTAAATAGGCTTTCAGGGATTAAGGGTGTGAAAACCTAAAATGTGGATGGTACTATTTATTGTGGTTTTATGAAGGCTGTAGTTTGTAGATGATTGGACTACAATTTAATTTATATTATTTACGTATTTATTTATATTTATATTATTTATATTTATGTTCTTGAAAACTAAAATATAATATATTGACTTTTGTCATGTGGATGGTACTATTTATTGTGGTTTTATGAAGGCTGTAGTTTGTAGATGATTGGACTACAATTTAATTTATATTATTTACGTATTTATTTATATTTATATTATTTATATTTATGTTCTTTGTTTTGTTTTACTTGCAAGACACTTAAATTTGCTTGATTGAAGTGCGCGTAATAATAAATAAGTAAATGCATATATTAATATATAAATATGGAAGTATAATCCCCAATGTTCCCAGCCAACATAGCTGTAGAACAATAGTTGGGAAAACTGATATATATTTATATAAGTGATGGAGATTGATTCCTGTGACAGTCTGTCAAACATCACATAGTGATGTTTAACTTGGAAAGTAATAAGGAAAACTAAAATATAATATATTGACTTTTGTCCTTGTGTAGTAGAAATGAAGAGAAAGACATGTGTCTTCTGCCACTGGCCAGAGGTCTAGGGTGGGGTCACTAAGTTATCTATATACATATTAAAGCAGGGAAATTCACATTAGAAATTTTCAATAGTTGGTGCTGAAATTGTTCCCCATTGCCTCTTCCTTTTGCAGGTCCTCGTTCATCTGGGACTCCTCACAAAAGAATCTGGATTCAAGATTGCAGAGAATGCCTTTAGTGGTGGCCCACTTGGTGAACTAGTGCAGTGGAGTGATTTAATTACATCTCTCTATTTACTGGGCCATGACATAAGGATTTCAGCTTCGCTGGCAGAGCTCAAGGAGTAAGGAGATTATATTCCACTTTAAAACTAAACCACCAAAACCATTCCTTAACTGCAAATTCTCGAAGTGTTCATTGTACAGACTGTAATTTTGTGAAGAGGAAAATGAAAGTGATAGTTCCCTAAACAGTGATAAGATTGTTTTCATAAGCTAAATAATGCACCATGAAACAGATAATATACTTACTTTGTGGTTGCTTCCTCCTGAGTTTTGATTAAATGAATACTAGAGAATTCAAACTATGCAGCTTTATTCCCTGTCATTACAGGTGTGTTAGACATCTGCAGAAAAAATAAATGCGCCTAATTTGTTGCCTTCCTTTCTTAAATTAACTTTATTTCTTAAAAAGAAACTTGTTATTCGTAAATTAAATTGACTGTAATTTGTGTGAAAATAGTTGTTTTACTATGATTTTGATCTATTTTAACAGTCTTTATTTCATATTATCCATAATTTCTAAAAGTACTGATTTAGAATATTGCACTGGAAAGGCACGGAGAACCATAGCCTTGGTTACATTCACAGCACAGGCTATTTAAGGCTGTTTAATAGAAGAAGTTTGTTATGTCACATCAATGACTATTACTGATAAGGCCTCAGAACTGTTCAGCTGTAAATCATCTTAAAGCAAACCTAATGTTGCTTTCCTATAAATAAGACAGTAGCTGTCACTAGAATCTGTCCTGTCTTGGATTATATAGAAAGAGTCATAAAAGCAGATATCTGGAATGTTGGCTTGAAAAATTAAACGTCTGTTGACGTTCATTCTTCCTGTATAGCACTGAATAAGAAATTAAGAAATATAGACAATAACTATAATGAGTTCTACCAGCACAGTGTTTTGCTTATGTAGAATCAGGTTGTCAAATGTTACTACTCTTTTGTACATTTTTATACGAAAGTCTTATTTTTATATTAATCATTATGGTTTTAGACAGATAATTTTGTGGTTTAGGATACTTCTTTGGGAAAATGTCTGAAACTTCTATAATTCCAGACCCAGTGCTTCTTTGCAAGAATCTTGCCTTTACTTCACCATTTTGTGAGTTATTCTGTAGTTAATTTCTGTAGAAATTAAACAATAAACATGTAAATGCAGAATTTTGCTTAAAAATGTATTTTCCTTTTTTTTTTGGCTAGGATTATGAAGAAGGTAGTTGGTAACAGATCTGGCTGCCCTACACAAGGGGATAAAGTGGTAGAGCTTATTTATATTGACATTGTGGGACTCACTCAATTTAAGAAAACTCTTGGTCCATCCTGGGTTCATTATCAGTAAGTATTTGTCTTTTACGAAACAATTTTCTTTACTAACCATGGGACACTTTTCATTTCTTTCCATGCTTATTCTTGATCCTGAAATTTTCATTTCTCTCTGTTTACAAGCAGCTTTCACATAGGGCATTTTGATACAAGAAAGTGTCTATTGTTATATACCTGGCTTAGCTCTTGATGTATATTTGTTGAGCTTGGACGAAGGAATTTTTATGGATGAGCTGCTATTTGCACATAGACCTCCCTGTGATTTGAACATTCAGTTGCACAGATGGCTTTATTCTATGGAGCCTGAACTTGTGAGCAGCTTCCTTTACACATGTTGGTGTTGACCGTGCAGTTCTAGCCTGGGGATAAACTGTTGGATTGGGGCCAGCAATGCTACTCTGGTCTTATTTCCATCCATAAGTGCATAAAGTAATAGAAATAAAATGTTAAATATTATTTGTAATGTTGTTGCTGATTTGTACAATGTTTAAGTTTGGTTTGATCATGCTTTCCTCCTTTGGTTCAAATCTAGTGCCATACTATATTTTGCTGCTTTATTCTAGTTTGGAGGGGGAATTCTAGTTCTAGTTTGGAGGGGGAAGTACAATCCTTGCTTTGAGGGATCAAATATAATTACAAGGAAAGTTTTTTTTACTAAAATGGAAGACTCTTATTGAAGGTAAGCCAGAATAAAATATAAGATGGATATGCACACATTCATGCAGCAACCTTTTTGTGTAAAACCAGGATGAGATAATATAGTTGGATATAATTACCTGAGAAGAGCCTGCATGTTCCCCAAACAGCATCTGAATGGACAGTATTTTATTTTCTGGTGTCCTGTATCAGTTCATTGAAACATAGGTTTAATCTTAAGTGTTAGAGGAAATGTGGTTAAGTCAGGTCAAGAATTATCAAGGTTTGGATTGACTTAGTCCTCAACCTTCCTGGTAATGCAGGAAGCTGTATGATAATGTGTCATCAGTAGAAGAGGCACGGGTGTTTTGTTTTGTTTTTCAGCCTTTTGGGAGAGATTCATTCTGGCAAAAGGAGTAGGCAGATGTATGAGGGAAAGAAACTTGCACAGTAACAAGATTACTTGAGAAAACGCATTACATGATTTTTCTTAATTTTGATTTGTTCTCATTTAAAAACAAGTACTTAAATTTGAGTGCAAATTATGACTGAGTTCATAATACACATTTCTTTGTCATCAGTTTTAATACTCTGGGGAGAATCATGTTATGTAAGCTGTCACTGTTATGGCAGATAGTTAATTCAGTCTAACCTTTTGTTAATAGTTAAGTTTCGAAGTATCATCCCACATCCTTCTTTGGTAAAAACTCCATGTTGTTATTCAGATTCTACTGTCCTTAGTAGACTAACTTAATAATTTTCTTCTGCTATATGATTTACTATTGCTAAGTAATATTTGCCTCTTGATGACTTTGGCCTAGATCTACTGCTTAAAACATTTTATGAAAAGCAGTGGGCAGAAGTTTTTAAAGCATAGTCACAAGTTAAATATTTAGGTTGGTTTTTTTTATTTCTCAATTTCTTATACTCATGTTGGATCAAAACAACCTTCTTTAGCCAAGCACTCCCCAGGAGTGTTGGGTCTGCAAATTCGAAAATTCCCAGCCAGTATATTTGCTGGTTTCATTAGCTGAAAATTTTGGGAATTGTAGTCCCATCTCATATCTGGAGGCCATTGGTCTGGAGAAGTCTATATTAAAACAGGTAAATTATTCAGATATTGAATATGAATGTTGTACTTCATGCAGCCCATGCATTCTTCTATGGTCTGTTTGTATTCCAAATAATCATTAAATGAGAAAAACTAGAAAATGTTTAAACCATGTTTTAAAAAGTGGAGCTTTTTTTTTTTTTTTTTTTACTTCCCCAGATCTGGGAGTATCTATAAACACTTTCTGCATTAACCTTTGCCTTTGAGTACTGTCATTAAATATATTTTATAGATTATATATGGATATGTGCCTATAGGTAACTAGAGCCCCTTTCTCAGTCTAGGAAACTTCAGCTCCCAGAATTTCCTCTTTTTTTATATAGTAATTTTATTAAAGATTATAATTACAACAGTAGCTCCCAGAATTTCCTAATCAGCATGGTCATTGCTGAGAATTCTGGGAATGAAAGAATAATACCTTAAATTTGAAGGAGAAGATTAGTTCTGAGTCCAGAATTCCTGGAGTTGCAGTGCAAAATTCCGCTTGGTTTTGCTGTCACAAGCAGTTCATAATTACCATATTTCCTTTGCCAAAGGGAAAAAAATGATGCAATGTGTCACAGGTTCTTTATTAAACCATACCCAGTTAGACTGACCCAGACTTGAGAGATGCAAAAGCACTGGACTCTGGACAGGTGGTTTCTTTATATCTCCCTATAAGAGATGGGGAGATGTTTTATTTTATAAAAAGAAACATATTAAAGTGGTATGTGAGGGCCTCCTATGTTCTGTTCTATTGCTATCTCTATAATACTAGGATAATTACTATTACAATTATTACGCTCTATATTATTACTATGATAATTACTATTATTATGACCATTATTATATTCTATACTATTACTATTCAATTACTATTACTATGACAATCTTTATAGTATACTCTATACTATTACTATTCAATATACTATATTACTGTTACGTACTACTCTACTACGATTACCTATATACTGTGCTCTATACTGTCGCTTAGTAGGCGTCAACATTTCTTTCTTAAGCCTGTTCTGTCTCTGAGATTTCTTTTTTTTTTTTCTGTTAATGGCCAGCGTGTAGAGCTCTTGCACCTTCTTTACATTGTGCTTTGCCTT